ATTTGGGAAGCGAGGCAAGAGGATCACAAGTTTGAGACCAGCCTCAGCAACTTAGTAAAGCCCTATCTCAAAATTAGAAATAAAAAGGGCTGGGAACATGCCTCAGTGGTTAAGCACCCCTGGGTTCTATCCCCAGTACAAATAAATAAATGTATTAAATATATAAAATAAGAATGAGAACCTGGGTAAAATGAATGATACTCTGGAAATGTTAAAAGAACATAGGTGGAAACTTTATTTAATATATATTTTTAAATTTTTTAGTTGTAGATGGACATAATACCTTTATTTTATTTGTCTATTTTTATGTGGTGCCGGGGATCAAACTCAGTGCCTCATGCATGCTAGGCAAGTGCTCTGCCCACTGAGCCACAACCCTGGCCCCTATTTAATATTTTTAACTGGAGAGCTTTTTCTTTGTTAACTTGTGAAATTCTTCAATATTCTATCTACTTATTTACTTTTCTACCTATCTACAGAGTTTTGCAATAATACCGTCTTATCGGAAATTTTATACAGTGCAGATCATTTTGATCTCTTGTTTTTGTAAGTTCAAAACATTTCTGAAGTATGAGAAATTTTTTATATGTTTTGCAAATCAAGACAAAGAGAAATATCCAATTTTAAAAATGGTTAAGGTTATTAACTTCACTATTAGTTTATATTGTGTTGGCGGTATTACCTGAAAAATTAAATAAGATGAAGCAATTAGAGATGCAAGAATTAGATGCGCCAGGGTGTAACTCCGTTGTATTGCTTAACTGAGCATGCTTCAGGTCCTGGATCCAAGTCCCAACACAAACCAAAAATGTTTAGGAATTAGAAAGGAGTGGTTTTCTTAACTATAGATAACATGATTTATATCTGAAAAACCACAGGGGGGAAAATCATTGAAGAAAAAAATATGGGTGAGATAGGTAAGTTGGGTGTGCCTGCAAAGGAGATAAAACAGGTCATGCTATATACTGATTTGATGGTGTTTACACAACTTTACACGTGGTTACATGAGCCAAAATTCATAAAACTGTACACCAAGAGAAACAAGTCAATTTCAATAGGAGAATGTCTTATAAAATATAAAATAAAATAAAATAAAATAAAATATAAAGTTACTACAAATAATCCAAGAACAATTAGAATAAAGATTGATACATTTGAAAAAAATGAAAAAAAATCAAACTTTTGCATGGCAAAAAATAGTAGTGTAGACCAAATAGAAAAAAAAAAAAAAGATGAAATAGCATTTCAAAATTATGTTACAGAAAAACAAATCATATTTTCAACATATGAAGTGCTTTAAAAGAATTGAAAAGAAATGCAAAAATCCTATGGAAAACTGAACAAAAGAAATGAATAGGCAGTCTACATGAAGAGAAAAATAAATCCTGTTTGATCACGAGATCAAGAGATCAAAATGCAGATCATGATCTATGACTCCCATAGTTTTTTTCAAAGATATTTTTTTCCCCTGTGGTTTTTCAGTTTCAAATTCTGTTAAGCTATTTTATACCCATTAGATGGGGGGAGAAATCCATAAATTTGATTATATATCCTGTGGACCAAGCTGTTGGGAATAGGTGCACCCATTAGAAGAATTTAGCAATACATAGAAAACTATATATGCCTTTAATACTTTGATCTAGTAATCTCAGACTTAGGAATCATCTTGAACCTGTACTTCCAAAGACATAAAGGAAAATTTGATTTTTTTTTAATGATAGCAAAATGCCAATCAAAACAAGCAAATCAACTGTGACAAATTCCTACAAAGGAATATTATCCAGTTGTAGAGAGAAATGAGAAAGATATTTACATGTTGATGTCATGTGACATCCAAATTATATTTTTAAGATAAAAACAGAGTAATGTGTAGAATATGTTAAACATAATTTTTAAAGAAAGGAGGACAGAATTTTGTTTTTTAATGTATAGTTTCAAAAAATTAACAATCAATCTTCAAAGTAATAGTCAACTCTAAGAAACATAATGGTTTGAATGAAAGACAAATGTAAAGGACCCCATCCATATAAGAGAAGCCTAATATAATAAGATTTTCCTCTCACGCACCATCTTGGGGAGGAGAAGAGGGTAGGAAAAAATTATGTTAGGTAAATTTATCATTGACTGGGCACTTGCTACAATAAGACTGACTTACATGGGGAATGTCTGTGATATTAATCACCAGGTTAATTCTTAACATACCTAGTTATCCAAGTGGATGAGAACTTGTAAGGAAAATTACATTAATAGGAAAAAATTGCAGCATATTCTTTGCACATTTAAGTTTTGTTTGCATAATTTTGCAGAAACTATTTCAAAGATCATAGATATTTACTAATCCAAAAATAAATAATTCTGTGACAAAGTTATTGGGACACTGAAATGTTGCTATTGAATTTTCTGAAGATATAAATATTTCTTCTGTTAATTCATTGATTTTTCTTTTTCTAAAAGAAGCGATAAAATGTTGAAAATATTATATTGCATTTTTTCCTGTGAATCTTGATAAGATCTGCCTTTAGTACAGTGAGTGGGAGTGATTTATATCAGTTTTGAATAAAAAGATTTTGAGATAAGATAGGAAGTTATAATTATACCTCCTTTCCCCTTAATGATTTTCTATTTTCAACTCTCACTTGAAAGAACCAAAAAATTAATTAAAAAATTAATATATCATGCTTGTTCATAGTTCTTTTAACAATCTCTAAGTAATATAGAATATATATTTTTTGTTAGTACAGCAAAATGATCTGAGTTTTTCACATACACATTACCGACAATTTTTACTTACAAAGAAGACAGTAGGTAAATATTATCTTTCTTTCATAGATAAAAAGAAATAACAAGAGTGTGGAATTTAGTAGCATCACCTTTTAAACTTTGCTCACAGACAGAGTTGAAAAGTTAATACTATATGATTTATATAAAGAGTAATCATTTCTATGTTTAAAACCCACTTTGACCTCTATCTTCATGAATATTATTGGATAATGATAGCACACTGTTGAGCTATTTTTCTTCCTTAGATAACACAGTCATTAGAGTTCTTAAACTGTCTACTGGGTCTTGCTACTTTTAAATAAATTGATTAATTGTATAATTTACCACCCAAATTTATTGGCTCCTAGGATAAAGTTACTTTTTAGATATCAAGAGAAATTTACAACACCAGTTTTTTAAACAGGGAGATTTTTTTCATATCCAGAATTTTAGGATATGAAAAGATAGAAATATACCATATTTAAATATAGTTGATGTTATATGAGGAAAATGATTCTAATTAATTCTGTGTAAATATGAATATGTAAAATGTTCAGAGAATGGGGAAGTTTTTGAAATCAAAATGATAAAGGAAAAACTTGAGTTTTGAATGGATTTCACTTGAACTACTCACAATTATCTGCACTATTTTTTTTTTTTTTTTTGTACTAGAGTTTTAACCCAGGGATGCTTTACCAATGAGTCACATTCCCAGCTCCTTTTATTTTTTGAGACAGGGCCTCACTAAATTGCTGAGGCTGGCCTCCAACTTGCAATCCTCCCAGCTTCCGAAGCTGCTGGTATTAGATGTGTACTACCACAACCACCTGCACCTTCTTTTTAAAGTCTAACATTATGTGATAAAATAGAATTTGAGTTGAATAAAAGAAGTTGGAATCTCCCTTATCTTTAGTATGAAGTTGGCTCATATTTGAAAGCCACTTTTTAAATATCCCACATTTGACAAAGTTAGTTATTTGGGAAATGTTAAATATATCTGGGTCAAACTGAATCACCGTCCTCCCTCCCCCTCCCCCATACACATACACCAGGGGAGGGAGATAAGGAGAGATAGAGACAAAAAGATTATTCTAGATACTTAGACTCAGGTATTTATTAAGACATAGGAAAAGTCCATCTCCAGAGTTAGCATTTTATAATTCCTGAAAATTGTTAACAAAACTACCATTTTTTGTTTGTTTAGAAAACGATATGTCATGGGTAACAGACTAAATTTGAAGTTTCAGGGAAGAAAAAAAAAATAGATTTTCTTGAGCTGGTAGTACTTACTCCATAAGTCCACTGAACCCGAGCGAGGTAGTATTTATTTGTTTCCACATAAGTCAACTCCTTCATTCCGCAGAGATCTACTGAATAGCTACAATACCTCTGCTGATTGCTGGTCATTAGACCAGCCTGCAACACTGACATGGTTTCGGCCTTATCCAAAAAAATCACACAAACACAAACTGGAAACCATGAGTCTGTAAAGTGTTTGGGGCAGGGGTGGGCATGAAGGAGGAGTAATTGGTCATATAAAGAGTATTGACATGGCAGAGGGGAACCTGCCTGCACAAAAACCCTGAGAAACTGATCTGGAAAAACTTCCAGGTACCAGAACTCTGCAGCACAGAAAGTCGTGCAAGAGGTCGCACAAAATGGTTTCAGTGTTTATATAATAAACATCCTCTATAAATAGGTAATTATATAAAACAGACAGGTTTTCGCTTGGGCATTTCAGCCAGCACTTTTTGTTTTTAAAATCTGTTCTTTAGGATTTGTCCTTGTCTTTGTTAAGACTACAAACGTGTAACCAGTGTGACGTCACTCACTCCCCGTCCCGAAGCAATGAAACTTGCAACCTTCTCCCACCGACTCTTAGATTCTGTAGTTAAAACACTACGGAGGAGAAGCCAAGAGCCCACACCTAAGTGGGAGACCCCAACCCCCGCAGAACCGCTCGAGCGGAGGTGGAGCCTGGGACCGCGGCCACTCACTGCGCATGACCGGCGCACGTTGCCAAGGCAGCGGGGAAAGGCGTCACCCGGAAGTTAGGGCCGCTGAGCTGTTGGCACCGGGGCTAGGGCCCGGTGGGCTCATCCTTCACTAGTTCCTGAGATGATCCTGACGAAAGCAAAGCAGATGAGAAACCGATTCTGAAGCAATATGATGTCCATCTGCCCAGAAGTCTGGGGATTTAAAAAGATCAAGGAGAATTGGTTCAAACCGACGTAAGTGCTATGGCTCACCTTTCTGATGAAACGGCCGGGTCCTTTACTGATGAGGTAGAGAGTTCTGGTTCTCTCAGCCCCTCTGGAGGACAGCAGCCCTGGCCCAGCCCCTCTGGGACAGAATCGGATGATGGAAAAGTGGCTGCAAGCTTGCAAGAAGAAACCAAGCAATCCGAGCTTTCTGACTTCAAAAATAACGAAAAGAAGTTGACTCAAAAATGGATCAACTATCTCAAGGACAAAAAAACTAACTATGAACAAAACCAACCGGAGACTAAACTTCAAACAGAAATCAATGGGCTGTCCGATGAAGAATTGAATGCCCTGCAGTCTTTTTGCACCACTAAGATAAACTTGATCCATCAAAGAGTGGACTCTAAAAAGAAGAGCAACAGACACAAAAAGCTGCAGTTTAGATGCGATCCAGAGCCTTCAGAAATCAATGCCTTAACATGTACTGTTCCTGATGAACTTTTAAACAGAATCTATTTTGAAAACGTGAGAACAACACTAAAACAGGTGGCATCAGCAAAGCAACACATTACTTCACAGTGTCCCAACTGTATTAGGAAAAAAGCAGAGCTGGCTCAGTCTGCCTTCCTAAAGCAAAAGAAGACTTTACTGGAGTCAGTTCTCCTCCAAGAGAAAGTAGATGAACATCTTCATACCACAGACTTTCTCACCCATGTTGGAGAAGCACATAAGGGTCTTCCCAGGCTTTCAGATGACCCTAAAATAATCTGGAAAAGACTGAAAGAGAAAACTCAGACTGGATTCTCCTGTTTTGAAAGGTCAGATACCAAGCAGAAGATGTAGCAAGATGGAAATAGGACTTCATTCACCTTTTTTCCTCTACCACTTCTCAAGTCTCTTACCCAACCAAACAGAAGATGGTGATTACTAATGATAGCATTCGATGTGGATGTGTGTAGATATTTCTGTTTTTTTTTTTTTAAGTAACTGGCGTTTCTTGGAAACTAATAAGGATTTTTTTATACTGTCTTTCTAGATTTGAGGACTAAGAACTTCCCATCCAATACGTTTTTCAGATTACACAGGGCAACGTTGTAGTTGGAATAATTACAAAAACTTTTTACAACAATATAGGAGGGAATATTGGTACTTGGGATTAGGTTGTTGATAATACGGAGAGAAAGAAGTACAGAGATGTAAGAGATACTTAGGAAACAATAATTATTTTGGTGATTAAATGGTAATAGGGATTTAATAAAAGATAAATGTTAGAAGTGTTAAAAGTCTTACCGAGGTTTTGATTTATGTACCTGTTTGATAATTAATTCCATTAAGATGGGACTACTAGAATAAAACCATGTTTGATAGAGTATCAAGACTATAATTACTTGCACATAAGTAGTTTGAGGTGTATTTGAGGCAAACACATTCAGAGTTTGAGGAAATGTTATTTATTCTTGTAGTCTAGAAGAAGAGTCTAGAGATTTGAAATAAAGGGGGCAGGTGGGGAAATCATTGGCATTTGTTGGAATTTGAAGTCATAGATGTGGTGAGCTTCCCTGGAAGAGAAGAGAGGTAAAATAAAAGCAGGGTTAGTACCAACTCCTGAGAAATACCAATAGTTAATGGCCAGGTAGAGGAGAATAAACTTGCAAAAGAGTTTAGAAAAATTACCATAGAAGGATAAAAGAAATCAGGAATGTATAATAGCATATAAGTCAAGGAAAGAGAATGTTTCAAAAAGAATGATTGGTCTAAGCATGTTGGTGAACCAGAGAGACCATATAGAGATGATTTAGACATGTGTTGGGCACTGTTGACCTTAGCCGTAGCCATTTCACTTATAGAAATGGAATAGACAAAGTAGGTTGAGGAATAAATGTGAAATAAAGAATATGAATATAGATTACTCCTTAAAATGTTTAACTGTTGGGGAAAAAGAGAGGTGAAACTGGAGACAGATGAAGAGTTAAGGGAAGAAAGTCATTTTGGTCATGAAGATATGAAACTTCTGTTGCTCATCCTAATTTCCACTCAGAGGAAACAATATTGCTCCCTGAGAAATATAGCATTCTGAAAACATTTATGGGGGAAAATAATACTTGGTATTATGAAAAATCTTATTAATTACTTATTACTTCTATAAGATATAAAATCCTCGAGTTAGTGGCATTAACAGGAGGTCATCCTCCTACATGTCTAACACCCAAGCTATTTCAGTGGAAGAAATTTGCAAAAATCAGCACAAGAGTCTTTGAGACACATTTCAATTTTACTCTTGAGTTGACGTTCATTTATATATAAAGACCTTTTTCCTGTAAAATTTAGCATATATCTTTTATATTTATAAATAAACTGGAAGCATCATTACCATTTGCATAATAACAACATTTTATTGAAAACCACATTATATGATGCTTTATCGTTGGCATCTCAATATATTCACATTTTACATTTTCAGAATTCAGAATTATTTTCTATTTAGATCTCCCCGATGAAAGGTCATTTTTGTTCTTAGTTAACCAAATTAGCAATCTAAGAGTCATCTTTTGTTCTTCCTTAAAAAAAAAAAAAAAAACTCAATCCCAAGCTATTTTTCAGAAAGATCACTTGATTTCTGCCCTTCAGCTTCTTCTTTTTTCATCTCATTACCACACTCTTTATCATCTCTGCCCTCCTACTTCTCCTACTTTCACCCCTCTTTAAACCATTCTCTCTGTACTGGTCAGAGTGATTTTTCCAACATATAAATTTGTTCAAGGATTTCTGCTAATTGAAGAATAAAGTGACTCTAACTGATTTGTCTCTGCTGCAGAAATAATGCAAGCTAATTAATGCTGCATACTGTGATCCAAATTTACTTTGCTAGTTTTTTCTCATATATTCAAGCCTCTCTACAGGATTTGTAACTCCCCAAGCCCTGTTTTTCTTCGTGTCACTGTGGTTCACATGTACACATTTGTTTGGCTCTAATTCTCTCAAGTTGCCTTTTCCATCTGGTATATTTCTTCTTTGCTTCTTATATTTGCTTTAAAATTTTATTATCAGAGATAGGTACTATATTTAAATGGTCCAGAACTCAAAAGGACGTGACAAGGCTTAGCATGCAGTATCTCTTCCACCCTGTCACCACCCAACCTCATCTGTACCAGGTTGCTGGATCCCTGCCTGCCATGGTTAACTTCCCACTTTCTGGAACATGGGGCAGTTAGGTATTCTGGGGTGAGAGCAGAGGTTAGAGGAAATTGAGGGAATTTGGGAGTGAGCATTTACCAGTCAGGTATGAAGTATTTCTGTGCTTGAGCCAGGAAACTGTATTAGTGTATAATATAATCACTTATATTAATTTATTATATATGCTTCCAGTGATTTTTTTATGCAAATACTGAAAATAGTTTTCTATGTACTCTTGCTGTGGATTAGATAAGTGTACCCAGAGTTCTATATGTTGAAAGATTGGTTGCCAGCCTAAGGTGCTATTGGGAGGTGGTGAAATACTTAAAAGGTGGAGCCTAGTGGAAGGAAATTAGATCACTAAAGGCATCCCTTAAAAGGCATATCAGGACCCCAAACCTTTACCTTTGCTTGACTGCCCTGAGGGAGACAGCTTCCTCTGCTATGTGCTCCTGGCATAATGTACACAGGCCCCAAAGTGATAAAGCTGACCAACCACAGACTGAAACCTCCAAAATGATGGAGCAAAATAAAACTTTCTTCTTTTTAAGTTGTTTTATTTCGGATATTTGTCACAGTGACAGATTGCTCACTAATACAAATGTCTTCTTTCCCTTGCCACTTTTTTTTGTATAATGGTGAGATATGCATATATATGGTATATATAAATGGACAACTATGATATATATATAATATATATCATAATATATATCTCTGTATTGTAATTTTCCATTTTGACCATTGTTAATATTACATTCAGTGGCATTACATTCACAGTGTTGTGCAACCATCACCACTACTTCCATTATTTATCATCACTTCAAACAGAAACTCTGGACCCAGTAAATAATAACTCTCCATTCTCCTCTCGCATAATCCCATTAACCTATAATATACTTTCTGTTTTTGTGACTTTTCCTATTGTAGATATTTGCCCTGTTTTTTTTTTTGATTGGCTTCATTTACTGCAAAATGCTTTCAAGTTTCATCCATAGTATAGCTTGTAAAAGAAAATCACTCATTTTTTATGGCTGAATAATATTCCAGCATCTGTATAGATTGCATGTATGTTTATCACATCAACTGCTGATTGACACTTGGGTTGTTTCCACTTTATGATTAGTGTGAATAAAACTGCTATGAACATTGGCATACAAATCTATTTGACCACCTGTTTCACATTCTTTTGGTTCTAGACCTAGAAATAGAATTCCTGGATCAGATGCTAATTCTATGTTTAATTTTTTGAGGAACTGCCAAATTGTTTCTACAACAGTACAACACTTTACATTTCCTCCAGCAACCAATGTCTTCATTTTCTTGCCATCACTTTTTATTTTGCACTTAAAAATTATAGCCATTCCGGCAAATGTGAAGTGGTATCTCATTGTGCTTTTGATGTTCCAAGTGACCAATAATGTTGAAATTTTTTTTTCTACTTTGGAGAAATGTCTATTTAAGTCCTTTACCCATTTTTAAATCAAGTTGTCTATTTTGTTGAGCCTCAAGTTATTTACATATTTTAGGTTTGAAATCCTTATCAGATATATGATTTTCAAATATTTTCTCCCATCCCATGGATTATCTTTTCAGTCTCTTTAATCCTCTGATGCACAAAAGTTTTTAGTTTTAGTGAAGTCCAATTTACCTAATTCTTTTTTGGTTATTGTTGCTTCTAGTGTCATATTTAAGAAACTATTACCAAAACTAAGATCATGTAGATTTTCCCCTTGCATTTTCTTCTAAGAATTTTATAATTTTGAATCCTATGGTTAGGTATACTATAGCTGGAATGTGTTCCCCACAAAGTTCATATGATAGAAAGTCCCAAAATTCATGTGTTATTACTTTTGGGAGGTAACCAGGATTGGATGAGGTCATGAGGGTCTCCTATGTATGAATAATACTGCTATGAACATTGGCATACAAATATCTGTTTGGGTCTCCTCTGACGGCTTTTTAAGACGAGCTAGCACTTTTGCTCTGTCTCAACATATGATCCCCATTATGTTATGGTGCAGTGAGAAGGACCTCAACAGATCAACTGATCAGATACTGGGGCCATGCTTAGACTTCCCAGCCTCTATAACTATGAGTCAAATAGACATATATTCCTTATATTCTCATTCTCAGATATTTTGTTGCAGTGATAGAAAATTCATTTTATATTAATTTTTTATTTATGGTGTAAGGGTCCAATTTCATTCCTTTGCATTTGTATATATGTTTTTTTCATCACCACTATTGAAGAAGGGACTTGTTCTTTCGCTATTGAGTATTTTCAGCTCCCTGGTTGATGGTCAGGATCATAAAAGTGACAGTATATTTATGGTCTTCAAATTCTATTTCATTTGTCTCTCTGTCTGTCCTTATGTTGGCACTACACTGTTTTGGTTATTGGGCTTTGATTAATTTTGAAATCAGTAGCATGGAACTTCCACCTCTTTAAAATTTTGTGAAATCTCTGTTTCTATTCTTCCTTTTCAAGATTGATTTGGCTCTTCAGGGTTTCTTGAGATTTTATTTGAATTTTAGGATGAATTTTTCCATTTTTGTAGAGAGTGCCATTGTATGGTTGATAGAGATTGCATTGAAACTATATATTACTTTGGGTAGCATTGTCATCTTAATATTATTAAGTCTTTTGACCCACACACATGGATATCTTT